TGCTATATGTGAGAAGTGAAACGTCAGGAAAGAAATGTTTTTATCGTGCAATTACTGTTTTTAGACAATAATTGTCGATCAGCGAGCTTTGTTCACCAAATTTCCCTCTTTTTCATTAAAGAAAAACAATCACATATTGAGAAAATAAACACAATTTTGAAGCAAATTATCCAAAAAGAACGGTGCAACATAAAAAATGGCTGATAATATGAGCATTACACACACACACATACAAATTGATAAATGGTTTATATATATATATATTAGACCAGTTATCCGGTGTGGTAATAAAAAACTCTAGACTGTAGGAGTCCAAGGCATCACTAACAGAATCTTATCAACCAAATCGAACGTCCCAGCAGAAATTGTTGCAGTATACATGATATATTTATTTCATGACGTTGTCTTACTCAAGTGGCTCTGTGGTATGTGGAAGATTTCACAAATCCACAAAGCTGATGTGACCTATACAGTAAAGATAGTTGTTACCCCTGTAAGCTGATGTGACCGATACAGTTAAGATAGTTTTCTGCGTTTCAAGTTCGAATCTAACATACATATACAGATTTGTTGCTAAGCAACACAGACGAACGAAGCGTTACCAAAAGACAACTGGCTTTTATATATTTTAGATAACTTAGATGTCACATTTCAGCAAGACCCCATGTAGTTGTAAATGATGTAAATGTAAGATACGTTGAATATGTAAACAATTAAAGAGATATAGAGTAGCTGTTTCCATGTTACGTTTAGTATTCCTAAAATATGTGTGTGATAGTTTATTCTCGTGCCCAAAAGATGGATCGTTCGTAGGCAAGTATCTATTGTTTGTTGTGATGAATTTCGTGCAAAGCTACACGAGAGCTGCAGCTTGGGCTATTCTTTTACCAACGAATAGTGGGATTGATCGTCACACTATAACGCTCCCACGGCTGAAAGGGCGAGCATGTTTGGTGGGACGGGGATTCGAACACGCAGATTGCGAATGGAGTGCCCTAACTACCTGGCCATGCCGGGCCGCCTAACTATTGTTTCATCTATAAGTATCTTAATTTTTTTTAAACACGACAATCAGAGGATTAAGAATAGGAATTTCAGTTTAGACCATGAAATGATTGTTTGTTTTCAGATGCTCGCGTGAAGCTTCTTAGGGGTTATCTACATTAGCCATTCCTAACTTTGAGCTGGCTACAGGGAAGGCAGCTAGTCAACAGCACCCACCGCCAACTCTGAGGCTATTTTCTAAATCAGAAGTCAAGGAAGCATTTAAGATATTTAAATATTCTACCAGTGTAATACATATCATTGACCATGTGACTTTGTTGATTGATTTGTTTTTATTACAACGTAGCCGATTGCTAGATTGCTGATGTTTAACTTTTTTTTATTAAATTTTCTCCATTTAACAACTGTTAGTTTTCTTTAATTGGTTTGTTTGTTTGTAATTATGCATAAAACTACACAATGGGCTATCTGTGCTCTGCCCACCACGGGTATCAAAACCCGGTTTCTAGCGTTGTAAGTCCGCAGACATACCGCTGTGCCACTGGGGGGCTCTTTAATTGGAAACTCATTGTTTAGCTTTACAGCTTCGTCAGAAGCTTTCCACTACTAGAAGCTTTGTACTGTCAGTTACGGTTTGTGTTTTAGTGGAACACTTCTGAAGAAGCTGTAAAGCGAAACATTGAGTCTCCAATTAAAAGATAATATCAAATTTTGTGTTATAAGATCGTTTATTTCTAATACGAAATTATATTCTAATAACAATATCAGACAAATATGTAAAAAAAACAAAAAACAATGTAGTGTCAACCTTAGATAAACACTGTACAAAAAATCTTTACCTTAAAACTTTCCTCTAGTTGTTTCTCATGATGCTGGACGAGTTGTTGTTGTTGCTGCTGAAAGTGTTGGATCAAGAGGCTCTGCTGTAGTTGCTGTTGTTGTTTTAAATGTAACAATTGTTGCTGAAACTTTATTTGTTGCTCACGGAGTGCAGGACTGAGGTTGTTGTTGTTGTTATTGGTTAAAGCGGAATCTGATCCATTCATCCCTGTCGAAATATATATAAAGCTGTCATGATGTGTAGAAAATAAAACCAAATAACTATATTTTGTGGCTCTCTGATGAAAAAATCACGGTTGGAACTAAACTAAGACAACAATAAGAAGACCTGGTAAAATAAAATAGCTAATTCATTTTCGTCATCCTACCGTGAGCTTATTTTGATTTGTGTGCTTGAAAAAACAGCAACAATACACATAGCACAATACTTTTGAAAAAGCTAGCATTCGCTGTAGTGAATAATCGAGTTTCCTATCTTTCCTTCAATCTTTGATTTTCGCTGACAGTAAAACATTAAAAATGAAAATGAAGTGTTATCGTGAAAAAAAGTACGTGTGTACGCTGAAAGAGACTTAAATAGCACTCTTGGGCCTTTTTACTGCATTCTAGGACAGGAATTAGAAACATAGTGCAGACATTCCGACACAAATTTTCAACTCTTTCGACTCTACAAAGGATAAAAGATATTTAGTAGTAATAAACGTTTATCTTGCTTTATATTTTAAGACCAAGTAGATAATATATGTGTTAAAATACCAAAAGAATATTTATTAATTAACATTTATTCACCACTTAAAACTTTTTAAACACTGACTCTATAACGTTAGGCCTAATGCCCAAACGTAACGTAAGGCTTAGTTGAAACACTAATTGGTAAATTTTACTTAGCTTTTCGCTACAACTCAATGTCATAAAACTTTTGAATTAAACTATTTTGCTGTTATATCACCAAAGTTATAAAAAATATAAAAACCTTTCTAACAAATCAACATGAATATTGAGCATTCAACATAAACACCATAGTTGGCCTAAGAACAATCAGGTGATAGTTGTGTTGCTGAGCGACGGTGTATATTGTTGAGCATTACCAAAAAAGGAGCGTAAAAGCGTTCTCGACAGAGTGACATAGGGAATAAGCCTTTTATAGTTAGTGATATAACCGGGAAACTGTATTAGTGGGAACAATTTTAAGTTATAGTCACAAATAGGCGTCAAACATAAAAATATAAACTTGCAAACTTGTAGTTTTTAATATTGCTGACAGTTTTAGAACGTTTTTGGTTTGCTTATCAAAAAATGAAATAAAAGTTAATTGCCAAAAATTCATTAGCTATATATATATTCAGTATAACTGAAAACTAATTGAGTTACAACATTAGAAATACCGATAAATTTGTGTAGATATAAAAGCCAGCAGGCCTTTCCAATGAAAACATTATAGTTAGAACAACATATGAAAGTTAACATCACTAGTTTTATTTTACTGTTAACAGTTGTAGCTACAGGCACTTATGAGTGGATGGGTTGTATGGAGGGTGCAAATGGTATACTGCAATGCGTCCCCAAAGACTTTAGATATTCGTATTTTGTATGTATTATAAAATTGCTGTTTTTGATCAATTCTGTATTCAATTTTCAATACATTTTCCCTTTAATATAATTCAGTATAATTTCCTATAAAATTTCACAATTATTTAAAGGGCCTCATCATAAGTGTCTGCACCAGGGCAACAGAAACCTTGGTGTTGAGCTTGGTTCTTGTTGCTTTCGTATAAAGATCATCAAATATCTTTTTATCATATTTTAAAAACTTCATTGAACATCATCAGATATTTTCCTTGAATTACGAGGATATTTCTTATCTCTTTTTACCGTTCTACATTAAAGTGCCCAAGAAATAACTGACAAACGCTTTTACGTCGCAGAGAGTAGAAAAATCTCGCATTAAGACAATTTATTTCCCTTTAATAGGTGATAACTAAAGAAAATTACAGAAAATAGTATCTGTACAGAAAAACACCATACTTTGTACTGCTTAAAGAATACGAAAATGGTACACTTATGTCATGATTGTGACCAGTGTCCACCGATTGATGTAATTTGTTGAGAGGGTGGATATTAGTGACCGGATAAAATATTGATTGCCATGATGAAAGAATTAGCGTTTGTTTGTTTGTAGTTAAGCGCAAAGCTACACAATGGGCTATCTGTACTGTGCTCACCACGGATATCGAAACCTGAATTTTAGCGTTATAAGTCCACATATATACCGCTCAGTCACTGGGGGAAGCAAATAATTAGCACAAAGGATCACTAAAATCGAGTATATTTCGAAAGACCCAGAAACTCGAACACTTTGGAATAATTGAGTGTTTTTCTTCAGAAGTAAAAAGGGCCCTTTTTTGGTCTTGAAGAATAATAATTAACTATTCGAAAGTGTTCGAGTTTTTGAGTCTTTTGAAATCTACTAAAATATTGAATGTAACGTGTACACACTTTTACACATTAAGATAACAATAAAATCATGGAACAAGGTAACAATAGATCTTGTTCTGAAACAGTTATTGCACTACGACATAATAAACTCACATTAGATCAAAGCAGGTAGAAAAAACTTCCTGTTTTAAGCAGCGTTAGCTTTAACAATTTCAAGAGATTTATAACATGCATAGTAAGGAAAGGAGTTACATGTGACCTAAGCTTTACTTTACCGTAATTGTGTATTATTATTCATCTGCTGTTGGACTATTTCATTGGGAAGGCGTGTTTAGAGTCAAGCATAGCTTCTACGAGGCTCGGAGCAGTACTTACTTCTCCTCTTAGCATTCTCCGAAGATTACTGTTTCAAATATCTAAACAAAATTTAATAAAAATTTGCTGGCGTGATTGTCAGGTTTTTTTCACTCACTGAACTGAATCTCCTTCCCTGACTACCACCTTATGACGATTCAAGTATTTTCGGCCTTTTCGCAAAATGTATACATGTATTTATTTGAAATGAAGTTAATATATTTTTTATTGGCTTTAACGATTTACCAGAAGGTGGGTGTAACGAGTGTTTATCTTCCAAACACTTGGAGGATTATTTTCTTCAATAATATATTAGGATTACATTTTATATTATTTTTCTTGGAGGACTGAAATAATGAAAAGCAAAATAATTTTCTTACCTTTTCCTTGAAGATAGGTATAACAAGAGTTTATATCCATGTTTGAATAAAGCGTACGATTTTCTGAAATATATATATAAAAAAAAGAAATTAGTTATTTACACTCTCAAA